CATCGGTCCCCTAACCGCCAGAGCCGCTGCCAGCGCCAGGCTCCCCGGGCGGGCGGGCGTCCGCCGCCCCTCTTCTCCGCCTCCTAGGCCCTCCTCCTCCTCTCCACTCTCCTTCCTTCCCCAACTGCTCTCAACCTCGCCTCTCCCACCGCCCCGCTGCAAACCCCTCCTTCAGTGCTCCGGAAGAGGCCAAGCTAAGCAGTCGCAGACAGGTGGTGGGAAGAGGGAAAGGGGTGCCTCTTCTGTCTTCAGGCGACCTCCTAGGCCCCCGGCCAGCCAGCCATCATCGGTCCACCCATGCACCCACCCGCTGATCCTGTCATCCACCTACCCAGCCATCCTTCTATCAAACCATCTCGTTCTGGGTAGCTCTGAAGCTCACAGAGAGCCACCCGAGTTTTCTGGCCACTTGTTCTAAAGGCGGTGGATAAACAGCACGAGAAAATTGGGGAGACAGTGCTGTCACCGAAAGCGAAGTTAGAGTCAGTTCCTGTTTACAGGGTAGGAAGCAGGCAGGGCCCATGACAATGCAATGTGACACTTGTCACAAACAACCCTGCCAGGTCTGCAACTTCGTGGTCTTCTGAATTTTGTTCCCGAGAAAGCAAAAGATCACCATGCGTCAGCAAGGACTCGGACGAATGCTCACTGAATAGTAATAAGCCAGCCTCTTGTAGAGACTACGTTCAAGATAAGAAGAGTCCCATCTCAGGTGGCGGTCCCTGGGGACTCTTACCACAGTCTGTGAGGCAGAAGGGAGCACAGACTTGGAGACTCCAGACAAGGCCCGGGCTTGTCTTCCCTCTTGGTTGCCCCAGCAGGCCTCTGCAAGCTCTGAGGCAGAGGGTGAGCAGTTAGTTACTCAGGATGGGTGACTCCATCTGCCTGTGGCAAATTAGAGGTCTTCTGACACCTTTTGCTTCCTCCTCTAAATATTTTGGTATAAAAATAATTGGGTCTTCATGAGATCCTGTGCTCAATCTCCAGTATCAAATTGATGATGACCACGATGATGATGATGATGGTGGTGGTGATGGTGATGAAGTAAAAACAAAACAAACAAACAAAACAAACAAACAAAAAACAGCTCCCAGAGAGAAGTCTCAACATTGCTAACAGAGACTGTTTCCTTCCCTTCAGCAGCAAAGAGCTTTTTCATAACCAGCTCTCTGGCAATGTCCACACCTGAAGAGCGGCCAGAACAGAGGTGCTTGGGCTGAAAGGTGCCTGAAGAGCTCTGGAAAATCAAAGCAAGTCCCGGAACTGGGACCTGGTGAGCAAAGGGAACCACATGAGCACAAGATGAGGTAGAGTAGGCCGGAGCCAGAACGGTAGGGAAAGATCCAAGGAAGGGGTATAGGCTTTATTGGGGGGTGGGGGTGGGGTGGCGGGAAGCTTCAGGCTACATCTCACCAGCATCACCGGATCTGCTCTAGGAAACTGTCACTCAAAAGCAGGTGGAGAACAAACGGAAGGAGAGGCCAGCATAGGTTCTGACGAGCATTTGGAGGTGAAGGATGGCCAGTTACCGAGGAGGGAGTACTAGAAGTACCCGGTAGATGCAGGTATCTAGAAATGACGGACGAGTCGACAGATGGTTGTCCTCCTTTTCACAGTTTTACTTTTTCCTGCTCAGCTAGCCGCAGTCAAGTGAAGTCCATGTACAATAAACAATTCATGTTTTAATCACGCACCATCCTAAGGAGCGCGATGAAATCTTACACCATCACAATCCATTCTGCCTGAATATGAATCATCCCTTTATCCAGTGTGTCCATGCTCTATACACACCTGCCCAGTCAGATGTGGGTCTGGAATGCCCCTCAAAGGCCCACATGTTAAGGCTTAGTCCTCGCATTGGTTCGGGAGAAGCTCTAAGCTGTAGGGACTATTGGGAAGTCTTGCAGTCGCTGTAAATGAAGTGAAGAATCGTATGTAAAGGACGTAAGTACCCATCATGTGGAAAGCCCTCGCTGCTGCTGTCACTGCTCTTGGGGGACAAGACACACAACATCAGCATCTCTCTGAAGAAGAAAGTCCCAGAAATTGTCTCACAAGACAATGCTTGTGAATTTGCCGGGCATTAGTGCTTAAGTTTGGTAAAGGTAGTCATCTTTGTTTTTCCAGTTTCCTTTTTCCTTCCCTTCTGATGTTGCTACTGATGAGCTTCCTGAAAATAAGATGTCCCCCTATCATTTCTACATAATCACCTACCAGGCAAAGTTCCTGAAGACTCTCTTCTTGCTGGTATTTAATAAGATTCAGACAGAGTTGGTCCTCTGAGACTTAGGGAGCAGCCAATCTGTCCTTGTGTTCACCAACTAGCTGAGACATGTTTGCAGAGTCGGGCAGGGCTCTGCACACCTGGAAGCCTTGCCTGTGGGAGGCTGAAAGAGGAGGGTGGGGGTTCCAGGATAGCCAGGACTATGTATTGTGGTCTGAGACTCCAAATCAACCCAAACACACACAAGAGGTTACCTCAAGGCAAGATTTAATGCTGGGAAGCACAAAGAAGAGGGGAGAGGGAGGGGGCTGATCCACCCAGGCCGCAGAACAGACTCAGGAGCTGAACTGCGACCCCGAACGCCAGGTGAAGCAAGAATTTAAGCACAAAAATCAGACATTTGCAGCCAAGTTACAGTTATAATTTTCACTGGTCAGGATTTAGAGATTAGGGGCTTCCTTGTCAATCGACATATAAAGCAAGCTTTTCAGTCCAACCAATCAGATTCATTTGTTCTTTCTGTTGTTAGGAACAGCCATGATGTTCCTAGAGAACTAAAGATGCATAACGACTATTTCTGTGGTTTAAGGAGGAGTAGGTCAGCCATTGGAAGGTTCCCAGCCCCCTGGGGCTTGGGAATCTGAACTTTGTTTCTTTACCCTACAGATAAAACGGAGTCTGAAGTCAAAAGGGCAGCACTTAGGACAAGATGCTTTTTGCCTATTCCCAACATATACACTGAGAACTTGTCTCAAGACAGATAAGCCTGGAGTTGTAGCTCAGCTACTAAAGTTCCTGCCTACCATGCATAAAGTCCCAGGTTCAAATCCTAGCACCACATAAAATCAAGTGTGGTGGTGTATGCCTGTAATCCAAGTACTTGGGAGGAGGCGAAGGCAGGAGATCAATTCAAGGTAATCCACAGGTAGACTTGGAGTTCAAGGTCAGCTGTAGATGTAAGCAACAGTCTTATTAAATAAGAACCAATGTAAAAGAGAAAGCCGAGGGGTCAGAGCTCAGAGCTAAAATCTCACCCTTCCTCCTGCGGTGTCCCAGCTTCCCGAAAGAGAGCTATATCCTGTCTGTCCGTTTTTTTTTATAGTATTTTGTTCTGCCTTCTCATTGGTTGTAAACCCAAACACATGACTGCCTCGTCACTGTCTGTATGTACAGCCCCCCAGGTCTTAAAGGCATATGTCTCCAATGCTGACTGTATCCCTGAACACACAGAGATCTATGGGATTAAAGGCGTGTGCCACCACCGCCACACTCTTGCTATGGCTCTAATAGCTCTGACCCCTGGGTAACTTTATTGACATACAATCAAAATCACATTTCAGTACAATTAGAATACCACCACAGTCAGCCTGGGCCAGGTGAGACCTTATCAAAAGAAAAAAAGGGCCTGGCAGTGGTGGCGCACACCTTTAATCCCAGCACTTGGGAGGCAGAGACAGGCAGATCTCTGTGAGTTCGAGGCCAGCCTGGCCTACAAAGTGAGTTTCAGGACAGCCAGGACTACACAGAGAAACCCTGTCTCAAAAAAACAAAAAACAAAAAAAGAAAAGAAGAAAGGAAAGAAAAAAGAGAGGGATGGCTAGGTAGCTTTGCGGAGCTGTCTGAAGTCAGACATGTTATCTCTGCAAAGCTGAAGTCTCAATCAGACTCTGAACCTCTGGTTACTGCTCTTTTAATTATAATTCTCTAGTCGGAAACTGAATTTTCCTCCAAGCTTTTAGCAATAAATTTTGATAAATTAAATGTAACTGTAAAATCTAGTAAATGTTATAAATCGGTTCAGGATCTTTAGCCTGACTGCCATGAATTAGCCATCACTTCCCACAAAGTTTGAAAGAAATAAAAAAAGAAGGAAGAAGGAACTGAGGAAGGGGAGATGGAGAGGAGGGATGGAGAGAGAGGAATTCTGTGGCTAGAATAACTCACATTGGTAGCATGAATGGAACCCTGGGTTTGATTGCCAGCACCGAGCCTGGGGTTCAGTGTAGCCCAGCACTCAGGATGTGGAGACAGAAGACCCAGTGCGCAGGATCATTCTCTACATTCTCAGATACAAGACACGGCGGGGGCCAGCCTGCTGTCCACTAACACACCAGACACGGCGGAGGCCACTGCTGTCCACTAACACACCAGACACGGTGGAGGCCACCGCTGTCCACTAACACACCAGACACGGTAGAGACCACTGCTGTCCACTAACACACAAGACACTGTGGAGGCCACTGCTGTCCACTAACACACAAGACAC